AATGAAAAATCCCCTTACATACCTGTCTTTTTTTGGGTGTTGTTTGATAAAATTAATGAACTAATAACAAGAAAAATCCAATCTTGATGCCATTATCCATGAAAATTTAATGAAGAATGATAAATGCAGAGGTTTCTTTTTGTCTGATAGGGTTATGTAATGATATGAACCTTTTTCCTGGCTGGTTTTTAGTTGTCCATTTGATTTAATAATGTGGACTAATTGAGTAATGGGGTACGTAATTTTGGAATTTGCAGGGTAAAAAAGGGTACCCAAAAGAGAAAGAAGTTGAAAAAAGGGAGGATAGTTGGGTGGGGTGCAACTGTGAGTGTGAAGTGAAGAGAGGTGGAAAAATTGCACCTAAAGCTGTTGATGAGGACTTGTACAAGATTTCACCTCATCTACTCCACCAGCAACCCAAAAGGGTACTTCAAAAATTGCAAATTTTCCAATTTCATGCTTGGAAATTACATTATAGGAAAATGCTATGATTTTGTCGGGTTTGTAACCGTCAGATCATGACGGTTACAAACCCCGACGGAATGATTCCGTAACGGGACTGTAGCATCTCCTTACATTATATTACATGAATTTTAGATCAGAAAATATCTGTTGTTTAGAAGAGGGTTCAAGATCATTCATTCTTCTCTTATAATTCTTGAAAGCCTTAAGAAATTCCTCAAAAGGAGATACATTTTGGCTTTGCTTCAACAATAATCCCCACTATGTTAATTGAAGTTAAAACACAATTTTTGTCCTCTGCTCAGTTTTTTTTCCCATGAGTATTCAGTTCTGATGTTTGAAAACAGAACAGTTGAAGACAAATAACAATGAATGCAGGACCTGCTGCACATAGTGAAACAAACAAACAAACAGTGGCAGAAAGATAATAATAAACTAAAATCTGAGTAAACAATTAATGAAGACTAATTTTGTCTTTTTTATTTTTTTATTTTTATTTTTATTTTTTTTTCTTTTTCTTGTGCAGAAGAGAGGATGGGGCATCTTTTCAAGCTGCCTGGTGCCCACATGTGTCTGTTAAAGACTTTCTTTGCCAGTAAATATAAATATTATCAGAAATCTAAGCTAAGTATCATGCAGGTTGTTATATTAGCTTTAAAAAAAGAAGGGGAAAAAAAGAATATAATATATGTGGAGGCCCAAGAAGATAATTCTCTATCATTATCATAAACATTATGACTAATGGTACCTATGAATTGATGGGGTTGTTACAATGTTGCTGTTTCCTATGGTTTTTGATGAGCCTTTTTGTGGTAGAGTTATTTGAGTATTGTAATTTGTTTGCAGAACAAAGGAGCAACATTATGAGTGGAAATCCTAAAGTTAATCTTGACCATGCTTTGCTTTTATTATACTGTCACACACTTGATTTTTTGGTTGTTTTAGCCTTTAGAAGATGACTGTTTTTTTTTTTTTTTTTTTTTTT